CCTTAGCCAATATATGATTTGCAAATATTTGTTTCCCATTTTGTTGTTTATCTTTTCATTTTCTTTATGGTGCCTTTCAGAGCATCAAAGTTTCCAATATTAAAAAAAATGTATTTTTAAAATTGTATTTATTTGTTTGCTTGTTTATTTATTTTTACTGGAGATTAAACCCAGGGACACTGAATTAGATCCCCAATTGTTTTTATTTTTTATTTTGAGACAGAGTCTCACTAAATTGCCCAAGGTGACCTCGAACTTGTGATCCTCCTGCCTTAGCCTCCAGAGCCACTGGGATTATAAGTGTATGCCACTGAGCCCAAAGTTTCTAAGTTCAATGAAACCCAATTATAAATATTCTATTTGATTGCTGTACATTTTCTATCATGTGCAAGAAATCATTTTCGTAATAACCCAAGATCATGAATATTTACTCTCAGACTTTCTTCTAATAGTTTTATAGTTTTAGCTCCTTCATTTAGGTTTATGGTCAACTTTGAGTTAATTTTTAGATATGGTATGAGGTTAGAGTCCAAATTTATTCTTTTGCATGTGGAGACACAACGGTTCCAGTACTATTTGTTGAAAAGACTTCACCACCTTGAGATACCTGGGTACCTTTTTAAAATTAATTAGTCATAAATCAATTCTGTTGCATTTATCTATGTGTCTAACCTACCAATATCATGCTGATTTCCATAGTCTTATAGTAACTTTCAAAATTGAGAAGTGCAAGTTTTCTGTTGTTCTTTTTAAAACTGTTTGGCTATTCTAGATCCTTAACATTTTCATATGAACTTTGTTATCAACTTGCCAATTTCTGAAAAAAAAAATTAAATCAGCTGGACTTTTGATAGGAAACACATTGAATCTTTAGATCAATTTGTTTAGTATTAATAATAGTAATAATAGTAAGTCCTCTTACCTAGGAAAATGGAATGCTCATTATTTCAGTATTTTAATTATTTTCAGCAATGTTGTATAGTATTCAGTGAATGAATCCTGCCATCTTCTATTAAATTTATTCCAGAGAAATTTATTCTTTTGATAATATTGGAATGGAATTGTTTTCTTAATTTCTTGGTTTTTACTGCTGTTTTTTGTACTGGACACTTTACCACTAAACTACATTCCCAGCCCTTTATATTTTTTATTTTGAGACAGAGTCTCACTAAGTTGATTAGGGTCTCACTAAATTACTGAGGCTGGCCTCAAACTTGCAATCCTGCCTCATCCTTTCGAGTCCCTTGGATTATAGGTATAAGCCACCATGACTGGCCTTAATTTCATTGTTAAATTGCTAGAACATGGAAATATACTTGGACTTTGAGTATTGATGTTGTATCCTGAGAACTTGCTAGACTTTTTCATTAGTACTAAGAGTATTTGGAGGGATTTGTTAGAATTTTCTGCATGTAATATCATGTCATGTGCAAAGAAATATAGTTTTACTTCTTCCATAGCCTTCCTTTTCATTTTCTCCATTCCAATCTGAATGCTTACACTGTCTGGTGTACACTCCCCTACAATATTAAAGAGATCTTTGTTCCCAAGTATAGGGGTAAAACATTTGGTCTTTCACCTTTAGGTATGTGATATTAATATTTTCATAAACACACTTTCCCAAGTTGAGTAAGTTCCCTTCTATTTGTAATTTTTCAGGTTTTTATCATGAACAGGTATTGGGTTTTATCAAATGCTTTTTCTGTACTTACTGAGATGATTATGTTATTTTTGTCCTTTATTCTAACAAATTTGGTATATTACTTGATTATTGGATGTTAATTACTAATTTGATATATTTACTTCTTTTTTATTAGTTGTTCATGATAATACAATGATCTTGACATATTATACATTTGAATCAAATGGGGTATAATTTCTCATTTTTCTAAGTGTACAGGTTGCAGAAACACATTGGTTATACAGCCACGTACATACATACAGCAATACTAGTGTCTATTTTATTCTGATGCCCTTCCTATCCCCCTTTCCCCTCCCCTCCCCTACAATATATTTACTTCTTATAGGTCTATTCAGATTTTCTTTTTTCCCCTTGAATCAATGTTAGCAACATGTGTTATTCTAGGAAATTGTCTATTACATCACTTCTAATATGTTAACAAATAATAGTTGATGATTTTCTCATGTTACATCAGTATTGATGTCCCCCCTTTCATTCCTGATTTTAGTAATTTATGTCTTCTCTTTTTATTCATCAAGCTAACTAAGGAATTATCAAAATTGTTAACCTTGACAAAAAGACAGCTTTGGGACTCATTAATTTTCTCTATTATTTTTTATTTTCTCTTTTATTTATTTTCACTTTAATACTTATTATTTCCTTCCCATGGCTTGCTTTGGGTTTACTATGTGTTCTTTTTCCAGTTGTGTGTGTGTGTGTGTGTGTGTAGGTATGTGTATATGTATATAAATATATATATAAATACCTTTATTTTATTTATTTATTTTTATGTGGTGCTGAGGATCGAACACAGGGCTGCATATGTGCTAGACGAATGCTCTACCTCTGAGCTACAACCCTAGCCCTTTTTCTAGTTTCTTAAGGTAGAATTTTATATTATTATAATCTTTATTCTTTATTTTTTTTCTAACAGGTATTACCAACTATAAAAAGTTTCTATAAACAGTTTTATCTGTATCTTGAGAATTCTGGTGTGTTTTTTTTTCATTCAGCTCAAAATATTTTCTAATTTGCCTGTGATTGCTTCTTTGATTTGTTGGTTGTTTAGAAGTGTGTGTGTAATTTTTGCATATTAGAATTTTCCCAAATTTGCTTTCATTGTTTATTTCTAATTCTATTGTGATCAGAGTACATATTTTGCATGATTTCAATCCCTTTAAAATCATTGAGACTTGTTTTATGACTTAGCATATGGTCTAGCTTGGAGAATGTTCCATGTGCACCTAAAAAAAAAATGTTATACTCTGCTCTTTTTTGGTAGAGTGTTTCAGAGTTCTCCATTAGAGAATTTAATTGATGTGTTGTCCAGTCCTTAGCTCTCAGCCCTCTTTGTAGACTGAAGATAACTGCCTCCCCAAAGTCACACTCTTTTCAGAGTCAAACCACCTCACAGCTGAATAATGTGTGGATGTAAAGGCCTGGCTACCTCATCCCAACTCCAGATTAAATCTCAATGTCTGCTTCCCAGAGACCCAACCTGCATATCCCTAATTCAGTCAAACCATGACAACCCCGGTTTCAAAACATATTTTGTATCAGACCTCTTCTCACCTTGCCACCATCATTTTTCATAGGTCACCATGTAGGGAATGGCTTGGGCTAGGGGTTGGGGGAAACATGGAAGCAAGGAAACCAGGTGGGATACTATTGCAATATATCCAGTAGGATTTGGTGGTGGTGTGGTGAGTAGCTGTCTGATTTAGAATTTATTTTGAAACTAAAGTGGACATCTCTTATTGACCTCCCAATTTAAAATAACCCCAAAGTCATTCTTTCTTACCCTTCTTTATATTACCTCATACTCCTTATAACTATCTAATACTATATTTTACATTTACTTGCTGTCTGTCGTTTTGTTCACTACTGAAAATTCAGAGCATAAAACAGTGCCTGGCATACAGCAAGTGCTCAACAAAGAATTTTTGGATGAATAAATGAGCCAATCACATGCAACAGTACTTCTTGAAAGTGGCATTGAATGTGGTAAGTAAAGGCATACAGGAATGTCTGGATGTGTGGTTTCTGGTGCAATCCCAAGTAGAAACTTATTTTCCAGTCATTCTCACATTATTTTTTAAATGACAAAAAATATAATTCCCACTAAGATAGATGGTGCTTCCAGGTAGAAAGAACATGGGTTTGGAAGTAAATACCCTCTGTCTGAAACTCAGTAGCTACATGACCTTGGGCAAGTGACTCAACTGCTTTGAGCCCCACATATCACTGTAAATGGAAGTAATAATATTCTGCTCCTGAAGGTTTTTAGGTTTTTATTTGCAGTATTAACGATTGAACCCAGGGTCTTGTGCTTCTGGGGGTATTTTAAATGCGATAGTACATGGTCAATTGAGGTTCCGCTTCACACAAGCCTAAAATAAGTAAATAAAACATAAAAATATCTCTGCCTTTGGGGAACTGCCAGTCATTAAATAAGAAAAATAAATGAAATATATAACATGCTAGTTAGATGGTTAAAAAAAAAAGTAGCAATAAAAAGAAGAACCAAAAGGGATGGGAAACATGGGAGAGAACTTCCAATTTGGGAATAGGATAGACAAGGAAGACCTCCAAGAAAAAGTGTCTTTTGTGGAGGAAGGAGTAATGCAGATAGGTGGGGGAGGAGAAGATCCAAGCAGCAAGAAGAGCAAATGTAAAAGCCCTGGGATGTGCATGAACCTGTTTAAAGAACAGTGAGGAGGCCAGTGTGGCACAATGAATAAGAGGAATAACTACAGTTAGCTCAGAAAAGTAAATGGGGCAAGGAGTGATAGGGTGGATGTGTAGGGCCTTGAAGGCCCTGAAAGGAAGTTAGCTTTACTCTGAGTAATTAAAGAATTTTGAGCAGAGAAGTTACATGATCTAACTCACATTTTAACAGATTCATTCTGGCTGCGGTGTAGATAAATGGCCAAAAAAAGCAAGGGCAGCAGTAGGGGGAAAGGAGATGCAAGAGATGAATCTGGATACATTTTGAAGGTAGAAACAATGGGATTTAAGACAGATTGGAAGCCAGATGCAATGGCACATGCCTTTAATTCCAGCAACTTGAAAGGCTGAGGCAGGAGGATCACGAGTTCAAAGCAAGCCTGGGTAACTTAGTGAGGTTCTAAGAAGCTTAGTGAGACTCGATTTCTCAATAAAAAGGGCTGGGGATATGGCTCAGTGGTTATGTGCCCCCTGCATTCAATCCCCAGTACCAAAAAAAAAAATCGCAAGAACCATTTCTATCAGTAGGAAGGAGAAGGTTTATAATGGAAAATCAGATCAATTTTGAGCAAATTGGGTTTAAAGTACTCACCAGACATTGGAAGTACAAGTCTGGAATTCCAGGGAGTGGTCTGATCTAGAAATAGTAATTTGAAGTTGTCAACACAAACATGGTCTTTGAAGAAACTATTTAAATCTGGTGGGGAACCATGAAACTGTATGAGATCACCTAGGGACAGAAAAAGAAAAGATCCAGGAATTGAGGCATGAACACTACCACGTAAGAAGTCTGGGAGACCCAGCAGCTCAGGAGGCTGAGGCAGGAGAATCACGATTTCAAAGCCAGCCTCAACAAAAGCAGGGCGCTAAGCAACTCTAAATAAAATACAAAATAAGGCTTGGGATGTGGCTCGGTGGTTGAGTGCCCTGAGTTCAATCTCTGGTACTGCCCCTGTAATGCCAGATTCATGGGACCCCAATAGACCTCCAGGAGCCGAATCCGATGCAATCACACAAGAGTCTCTATTGCAAGCCTGGACTCAACAACCGTTCCCGACACAGCGGTCCTGAGGAGTGAGTCCCGGTCCTTTGTTCAATGAGATTTTATAGGTTTTGGGGGATACTCTATGTGTCATAACATCATATAGAAAATCATTTCACACCGAGGGAAAGTCAAACAACAATTAACATTGATTAGCACATTCACTGGGGGGAACAAGTTGAGTAGGAGTGTTTGGTTAGTAAAAGAGGAGGATTCCTTTGAACTGATTGTTTTAAGCCATGAGGGGTGTTTGTGCTAAACTACATGGTTTCCCAACATGTTATCAACCACCATAAACTACTGGGGGGGGTCATCTGGCATCCCAGGTATTTTCCCTGTCTCATGCTGATTGGTGGCTGCTAGAGGGTTGCTATGGGTCCTCACCTAGCCTGACTGAATCAGGGACACCTGGCTCTGCAGATCTCTCCTGTTATTTTCAGACAAACAACTCAGCAGGGTGGATATGTGCCTAGGAGCTCTCTGTGGGTTTTTCCAAGGACAAGGGTCACACCCCCTTCGTTGGACAGGCTTTGAGGTAGAAGCTGTTTTCAAAACTGGAGTCACATCAGTTTCTCACCCCCCCACACACACACCAAAAAAAGAAAAAGAAGAAGAAGTCAGGGAGAGGAGGCCAGAGTGGTGGTACATGTAAAATATTCAGGAGGCTAAAGCAGGAAGATCTTGATTTTGAGGCCAGCCTTGGCAACTTTGTGAAATCCTGTCTCAAAATAAAAATTTAAAAGGACTGGGGATATAGCTCAGTGGTAGAATGTCCCTGGGTTTGATCCTCAGTATGAAAGAAGGAGAGAGAGAGACAGAGGAAGGAAGGAAGAAGAGAGGAAAGAAGGAAAGATTGATTTATCAGCATGGGGTCAATTTTGCTTATTTTTATATCTATGGTGGGCTGTTGTCTTCTTTGTGTTTAGTCACATTATCAGGGCCTAGCTCAAAGACTGATCCTCTGAAGGTCAGAACCTGAAGTATGCATGATTGACAGGTTATCCCACTCAGGAAATATACACTGAAAGAGAAGTCAGTTGAGCAAAATGAACCTCTCTTTGAAGGGATATTATAAGGAAAGGGGTCATTTTCACCAGAGAGAACTTTGTGCCCCTGCCATGCTGTAGATCACTTTAATGACCATACCATCATGGTTAGCATCAACCTCTGGGAAGCCTTTATGAAGGAAAAGCAAGCTCTTAGGCAAGTCTCCATATTCTTTGGGGATGTAAGGTCCTAGAAGACAGTGAGTGTGTCTGAGACCCAGGAACAGCAGGTTCATACTGCCTGACCTCAAGCAGGATAAGCAAAGAATGAACCAAGCACCTTCCTGACACTATCCTTAAACAGTTTCTGCCTTACACCACTCCTGGTTCCCCTTCCACCTAACAATGTCTCTGTCTCCATTGCCAATTCTTCTTTTTCCCAAGCTCTAGCCGAGTGCCCCAGCCTCCTTCTCTAAAATGCTATGAGGTCAGCAACACAGCAGAAATGGCAAGTTCAGTTCTTTCCACCCAGGTTTTTTCTTTGTGGTTCCATGAGAAGCCTAATGTTTCTTCCTATTTTCCTTTTGCTACTCATCAACACCAAATCCCCCAATCAGAAAATCAAAGAGGGCAAAAGGAGGGGTTTTTCACACCAGGTTTCCCCTTCCCAGATCCCTATACCCTTGGCTCCTCAGCTGCTGCCTCAACTAAGGAGGTGATACAAAAATGGCTTTACCAATAACACAATGGGCCTAAGGCACAGACAGGAAACTCACAAAAGAAGAATCATGAATCATCATTACCTAGATGAAAATGTTAACCCTAACAACAAAATACTTCTTTTTTTTTTTTTTTTTTTTTTTTGTACTAGGAATTGAATCCAGGGACACTCTATCACTGAGCTACATTCCAAACCCTTTTTATATTTTATTTGAGACAGAGTCTCACTAAGCTGCTCAGGCAGGGCTTGAACTTGGGATCCTCCTGCCTCAGCCCCTCAAGTAGCTGAGATTCTGGGCATGCACTATCATGCCCAGCAACAAGATATAAATTTAAAGCAATAATGATATGCCATTTTGCCTAATACCTAGGGTTGAAAAGAGTAAGGACATATATATAGACCTTGCTGACTGGAATATAAAGTCCTGCACTGATCTTTGGAGAATGATATTGGCCACACTTAAGGACCAAGAGTTTTGACCCAGGAAACAGACAACCACACAAATTATGTAGATTCAAGAATACTTACTGCAAAATAGTTTATATATTTTTAAAAATTGACACCCACCTAAATGTGTTACAATAGGAAATTGGTTTAAATGAATGAGGGGGTTCATCAAATAGTGGTATACTAGGCAACTATTAAGAATGATGGCGGGCTGGACATATTGCTCATTAGTAGTGCACATGCTCACCATGCCTGAGGCTCTGGGTTCAATACCAAGCATCAAAAAATGAAAAAATAATAAAATTCAGACTTACTCAAGCTATCTACAAAATAACTGACCTATATTCTTTTTTAAATTGATACATTATAGTTATATATAATAGAATTTTTGATGGCATATTTGTACATGCACATCACATAATTTGATCAATCTCATTTCCATTACTTTCCCTCTCTCTCCTCTCTTCCTTCCCATTGATCTGCTTGCTCTACTTTACTGATCAATCTTCCATCTATTATTATTATTATTATTACATTATAATTATAAGTGGGATTCATTATAGCATATTCATAAATTAACATATAATAATTTGGTAGATTTCATTCCCTAGTACTTCCCCAGTCCCTCCCCCGACCCTTGATCCCTTTTCTCTACTCTGTTGGTCTCCTTTCTGACCTGTATTCTTTTAAATGTCAACATCATGAAAGGCAAAGTGAGTCTAAAGAAACATACCTACATTAAAGGAATGTAAAAAGACAAATACTAGCCGGGTGCGGTGGTCCCTCCTATAATGCCAATGGCTCGGGAAGATTGCGAATGGTTGAGTGCCCCTGAATTCAATCCCAGGTACCCAAAACAAAAAGACTTAAATACTAAATACAATATAATGAGTGATTCTACATTAGATCCTGGGCCTAGAAATAAAATTTTTATAAAGGGTGTTATTGGGCAATTAGCAAAATTTGAATATGGATTGCAGATTAGAACACTGTATTATATCAATCTAAGTTTCTTAAGGTCACTTCATCTTTTGCCCACCAGTATTAGTGATTGAACCCAGGTACACTCTATCACTGAGCTATATCTCAAGCTCTTTTTATTTTTTATTTTGAGACAGGGTCTTGCTAAGTTTCTGAGGCTGGCCTCCAACTTGAAATCCTCCTGCCTCAGTCTCCTGACTAGCTGGAATTATGGGCATATACGACCCAGCCTGGCTAAATTTCCTTATTTTGATAATTGTAGTGTATTATATAAAAAGATGTTCTTGTCCTTAAGAAATTCATGCTGATGGGTTTAGAGGTACTGGCCTTGTGTGTGACTTAACTCTCAAAGGATTCAAGAAAAAAATGCTACTAATGTGCATTTATAGAGAAATAATGATAAAGCATATGTGGTCAAATGATATCCATTGGTGAATCCAAGGGTAGGGTATCCAGGAATTCTTTTTAGTATTTTTGCTGCTTTTATATAAGCTTTAAATTATTTCAAAATAAAAAGTTTAAAAAGAAAAAAAGAAAGGGAGGGAGGGAGGAAGAAAAGAAGGAAGGGAGGGAGGGAGGGAAGGAGGGAAGGAGAAAGGGCGAGGGAGAGACAAATGGCACCGATGATGTATATTCCTTGGCAAGAGAGGTGTTCAGAACACTCCAGAATGCAGCCCAGGTCAACACTGGGTGTGTGCGGCTGCCGAGACACCTCCACAACCCTGGACTCTTGCTCTCTGTGCTACTAGAGGAACTGAGCATGCAGTTGACCTCAAAGCTCTCCTGGGCTGACTTAAGAAGATGGAATGAGACTTCAAGGCAACAAATTTCCTTTTGTAGTTTTATTTACTCCAATTTTATATTATACATCCCAGAGATCTCCACAGTAGAGGGAAGCAGAGATGGAAGGAGTAAAAGCTACCCAAATTCAGTATTTGCTACAAATAATTCAGAATGAAAAAGTTAGAATTTTAAATTTAGAATAGATGATAGAATATACTAGAATTTAGGAAACACTATGTTCATTTATCATTGATGATGACAAATATGAAGGCCAAGATTTCCTCCTAAAACCAGCTGAGTATCTTGCCCATTCCCCAGAAGGAGGGGAAAAAAAGAGTCCCCACAAGGACCAAGGTGAGGTCCAGAGGTCCCTGGGTCTTTTCTGCAAGGTAAATGGTTTCAAATCATGACAAGTTGCAGGTCCTCTGAGAAGCATCTGTACTCATGAGGCAAGTTAAGCATCATCTCTTGGGAAGAGGAACAGGGAGATCCCTCACTACCCCACACCTCTGCTTCCAGATCCTTCCCCTCTGGAGGCTCAGGGGTAGCCACCTTGCAATTCTCTTCTCTAGAAAGGAGAAACCAGATTCACAAACAGAAGAACTGAGACTACCCCCCACCAGGGGCCTCAGAAACCAAGCCAGTTCTCCCCTCCTATCTTCACCTGCCATTCATTCATACCGTCCTACTTCTCCCACTTCCCCAGGGGTTGTCAGGGACAGAAGGCCCCTCCTTCATCCCCCTCAATGTTCCTCCAACCCCCCCACACCACCATTCACTAGGGTGTCCAGGACATTGTGTGACTCAGGAAACAGCTCAGACATTAGGCTTGCAGCAGGCTGAAGAGGACAAGGAAAGGGCAGTGTGAGCCAAGGAGGTGGCCCTGCCACAGTGAGGGCTCTGAAAGTCCCTGCCTGAAAAGGGAGAGGAGATCTGGGCTTGGGGATGCTCTGGAATGCAGCCCCCTTCCCTGCTGCTGCTTCTGCTGCTGCCGCCACCACCGTGTTTCCTAGTTGTCATGGCCAGAGGTGAGTTATGGGGTGTGAGAGGAGGGGGAGTCCATTTTCCCTTAAGAGGATGTCCAGTGGGGTGGGAGAAATAGAGCTGACCCCCAGGTTTTGAAGGGACACTAGATAGAAGAGATTTTCCCAAAAAATGCAGACAGCCTGTAGGGAGAACCGACCGCCACAGAAGCTGCTCCAACCCAGGCTTTGGGCTGGGTGCCAGTAGGGACTGTTGGGGGGATGGGTGAGAGGGCGCCCATCCCCAGGGAAACCCAGTTAGCCCTGGAGCTAAGTTAAGTGTACTCTTATAACCACGTTGAGAAGGGCAGATCGACCACCTGCTAGGGGGGAAGATGAGAGGCGATCAGGAGGTGGAGATGTGGAAGGTCATGGGTCCACCATGTCCCTTTCCTGTCCAGCTGTCCCCACCCCCCGGAAGGCTTGATTCTGGGCCCTTCCTGGCCTTCCTGGAGGAAATCCCTTCAATGTCTCAGCCATTCACCTCCTGGGGCCCCCTTGCCCCCCTTCTGTTCCCTGTTGTCTTGCTTCCTAGGGATGGAGTCCAGGGCTGGACTTGGAAGGCTAGAGAGTAAACAGGAAAGGGGGGTGTTAGGGAGTAGTAACTGAGAGGCCTGGGATGGAAGGAACTGAGGCATGGGACCACACGTGGACTGGAACAGGGTATGATGGTAGTTTAGAGCATGCATGGGGGCTTGCTTTGAACAGGTCTCTTAGGAGCACCTGGAGGAGGAAGTGAGACACAAGCTCCATGGCTCCATCTCATTCTCCGTTTCCATCCATAGGGCTGCTGTGCGGAAGTTTTCCAGAACCCTGTGCCAATGGAGGCACCTGCCTGACCCTGCCTCAGGGGCAAGAGACCTGCCTGTGAGTGTACCTTGTGGGACT